CCACATTGCATGCTGATGTGGCACTGCTTCTGGTCTACATTGCATGCTGATGTGGCGCTGCCACTGGTCTACATTGCATGCTGATGTGGCGCTGCCTCTGATCTTCATTGATGATGTGGCTCATGCCACCTGTCTCGACTGCTGACGTGGCATTGTCCACGCTGACTACATGAGGAGACTGGTTGCGAGGAGGAGGAAGATCGGGATCTGTGGAAGAAGGAGGTCGGGTACTCACCTGAGGTTGACTTTGTCATTGGAATCTGCTGTGACTGCATGGTCTTCATGAGATAAAGTGGCACGTGGCACTATTGTGTGTGATCAGGAATAAACTTATTATCATTGTTGACGTGGAGAGGGAAGAATCCCAGAGAAGGAGAGAGGTCATAAGGGATTACTGTGTCATCTTTCATCTTCCTCTTTGTCTATTCCCCCTCTACTCTCTTCTTGTGATGGTAATGAGATACTGTTTGAGATTTCACTTCATGATTTGGAGACTTTGATGCAGATAATGAGACTACTGATATTTGACGACTTCTGAGTATCCGCCAAGATTGGGTTCATTACAATTTGGTATCAGAGCCTACTTCTTCATCGCAATCTGCTGTCTGTCAGGTGCTTACGTGGCACCCAGGTAAGTGGGAAGTGCCGCATTTGCAAAACGAAACGTGTTTATTAACGCGTGCGGTCATACCACAAGTCTAGACATGGTAGTATTGCATGTGCGAGCAGCTGTCCCTTGAAGATGATGACGTGGCTGCATTGAAGACTTACATCGGCGAGAGCTTCGTTGGCAACAGGCTGACGTGGCGCTGGTACCGCTGATGTGGCATATGATGGAATGCAAGGCGTGGTCTGATGTAGCACGTACGTGTGTCATTGTTGCCTGCGGATGCTGCATCTGACGTGGCATACCAGTGTTGAGCGTATGGCAAACCTGCATTGCTGACATGGCATCCCTCCTAGTAGACCTTCCAGGTCCTTGTTGTTGACGTGGCAGATGAGCTGCATTGGCATGCCAGGTGTGACACGTGGCATGCAAAGACTGTGCAGTTGTTTGATGAGGGTTGCACTGCTTCTGCAGATGGTACACTAGGAGCTAACCGTTGATTGTGTTGCTGTGCTCCTACACAATCCCACACGAAAGCAAAAATCGATACAATCCCCCATTGGGGTCAACACATAGCCCTTCCCGCATGCCTAATTTTTCATTTTCCTTGGCTTCTCATTGTTCTCCTTCCTTTGCTTCAATCAGTCCATCCTCTTCTCATAGTCATGCAGTCGGGGAAATGGTTGAGTCAAATTGACCTTGCTTCAAACACCAACTTTCTCTAGCCCTTTTTCCTGACCCGACTCCTCTCAATCCCTCAAGTGTCTCTTTCCTTTTCCTTCTCGGCGGCACAAGGGACCGACAGTCCTTCCCTTGCCCACTTTCTCCACCAAGTGAGGGCAATCTCTTTTCACCGTTCGGTCCCTAGCAATGTAACAAGTGAGTGGTGAAGGGTTAGTTATATGCCAAGTGGTGGAAGGGAAGAAGGTTGAAGGGGCCGAAGTATGAGACAGGGGAACGAGAGAGAGGGAGGGAGAGAGAGAGAGAGAGAGAGAGAGAGAGAGNGAGAGAGAGAGAGAGAGAGAGAGAGAGAGAGAGAGAGAGAGAGAGAGAGAGAGAGAGAGAGAGAGAGAGAGAGAGAGAGAGAAAACTCCCTAATTCTAATCAAGCCTTACCCATACTTGACCTACCATCCCCTGTTTAAGATCCGAATCAATTCAACATTGAGTGAGGAAAGACTGAAATGCAGCAAAGGACCTACAACACACACAGACATGAGTCACGGGACAACTTGGAAGCAACTGCCACATTACCAAGTGAAGGAAAGACTTGAACAACAGCAAAAGACCCACAACACACACATACACGAGTCACGGAACAGCTAGGAAGCAACCGCCACATCACTAAGTGAGAAAAGACTTGAACAGCAGCAAAAGACCCACAACACACACATACATGAGTTACGGAACAGCTAGGAGATAACCGCCACATCACTAAGTGAAGGAAAGACTTGAACAACAACAAAAGACCCACAACACACACATACATGAGTCACGGAACAACTAGGAGATAACCGCCACATCACTAAGTGAAGGAAAAACTTGAACAGCAGCAAAAGACCCACAACACACACATACATGAGTCACGAAACAGCTAGGAGATAACCACCACATCACTAAGCGAAGGAAAGACTAAACTGCAGCAAAAGACCAACAACATACACATGCATGAGTCACGGAACAGCTAGGAAGCACCCGCAACATTACTAAGTGAAGGAAGGACTGAACAGCAGCAAAAGACCCACAACCTACACATGCATGAGTCACGGGACAGCTAGGAAGCAACCGCCACACTACTAAATGAAGAAAAGACTGAACAGCAGCAAGAGAACCCACAACAGTTGCAGCCAAGGCCGGTCACCCATCCCACAGTAGTAGCAGCCAAGTGTCGGTCACCCATCCCACAGAAGTAGCAGTCAAGTGTCAGTCACCCATCCCTCAGCAGTAGCAGTCAAGCGCCGGTCACCCATCCCACAGAAGTAGCAGCCAAGTGCCAATCACCCATCCCGCAGCAGTAGCAGCCAAGCGCCGGTCACCCATCCCACAGCAATAGAAACCAAGTGTGAAACGGAATATTACCCAAGGCATTAACTTGACAAATTGAGAGTGCAAGTAGTGGAAGCACATGTATACGAGTAGTAGATAAGCCAAGTGTGAAACGGGACACTCCAAATGCATGAACTTGACAAAACAGGGGTGTGAGTAATGAAAGCACAAGTGTATGAGTAGTAGAACAGCCAAGTGTGAAACAGAACATTACCAAGGACATGAACTTGACAAAATGAGAGTGTGAGTGGTGAAAGCACACGTGTATGAGTAGTAGAACAGCCAAGTGTGAAACAGAGTATTACCAAAGGCATGAACTTGACAGAATGAGAGTGTGAGTAATGAAAGCACATGTACATGAGTAGTAGAACAACCAAGTGAGAACCGGAACACTACCAAAGGCACAAACTTGACAAAACGAGAGTGTGAGTAGTGAAAGCACAAGTGCATGAGTAGTAGAACAGCCAAGTGTGAACCGGAACACTACCAAAGGCACGAACTTGACAAAACGAGAGTGTGAGTAGTGAAAGCACAAGTGCATGAGTAGTAGAACAACCAAGTGTGAACCGGAACACTACCAAGGGCATGAACTTGACAAA